AAATGATTAACTATAAAAAATTTGAAAAATTTACAAAACTGCTTGATATTGATAATACATTTTTATATATTTTGAATCACTGGTTTAGGAGTTGAAGATATATGAAATTAGATAAATATTCCTTAAACAACTTGCTTTTAATGCCAAAATAAATTATTTATGTAGAAATAAAATGTAATACATTTTTCCATATATTGTAAATATATTAATTTATTTGTTTATATGTTTTACCTGTAGATAACTGCTACAACGTCCTCTACATGCATAACTAGGAATTGGTTTTGGTACACATCCTGGATATTGCAAAAAGTGAATGACTGGAGTTGCTTGACATTCATCAACACCTATAATAGCTTTCGCTGTTTCGCTCAGCAGACATATTAATACACTGGCACCTACTACACAGTAAGTAACAAAATTACAAGGAAATTACATTGATATACATACATTATATATTTATGTTTTTATTTTGTTTATTATTTTAAAGATATTTTTATTTCTTTATATTAATTTTAATTTTAATTTAAATATGTCTATTGTAATTCTTTATTTACCAATATGATAGAGCAACATAGTGTTAGCACGACACTTTTCCTCTTAGATCTACTACGTTACTGTGCTTAGAGATTACAAGTTCTATCCTTTTATACTCTGTAGGTGACCATGTTTTCTCCCTTCCCTTTTGATGCTTATGTTAATAGCACTAGGAAAGGAGTCAAATATATAGACATACCATATTAGACAATAAAAATGTTTTTGAAAACGTCATATCATATAGCAAGCATTTTCATCAAATATTTTTTTGTCATTTATAAAAAAATTATTTCCATAAAATATTAATATTAAATATTACAAAAGATATTATTTATGAATCTAAAAGTAAGTTTTAATTTTGTATTTTTTTCTAAATTAAAATTTCTTTTATATTATATATCTGTTATAAGTTATCACAATATATTTACAAATTTATGCATTGGTAATAATTGTATACATGGAACATATATAAAAATATATTATAATTTTGTCAATAATTGAGATGTGTAAATTATGAATAATTTTTATGAAAGTTTATGGAAATTTTTGTTGCATAAATTTTATTTATATAAGTTATATAAATTAATTCAAGTTAATTATTCATACAAGTAATATTATTTATACAATAACAAATTTTTGAGAATAATTTATAGTACATAGTATATAATAAAATTTATAATAAAAGTAGTATATAAAATATAACATTTTATTAATCTAAATACAAACAAGTTATTTTGTATGTTTTATGCCATATATATATATATATATATATATATATATATATATATATATATATAT